AATACATTTTACATATACTATAGTAAGACTCAGAGGTTTTTGTTTTTTTCTTCTGATTTCCAAAGTCCTGAGAATTTTATAAAAGGAAATCTCCAGTGTGACAATTCCAAATACCAGTCTGAAGTCTGAGCCACTCTGCCTAGCAAATGATTAGATCATTACAATTCTGTAATAATCATTTTCTTTGTGGAATAGGGCTAACTTCTAAAGACAATAAGGAGCAAATAAATAAGTAAACACAAAATAAGCCAAGTTTTCTAACAAGAGACATTGACAAGAGCACGTTGCAGAAAGTAAACCATAGTAATTAGTATTAACATAAACAAATTTAACCTACAGAACATTGCTACTTATTGTTTATAGGTACCTCCATATGCAATAAAACTTTAAAACTATACATAGGAATAACACTCACCTATCTAAAGAGAGAAGTTACCTCTGGGATTGGGGGTGGGAAGAGGCAGAAATGGGCTTAAGACGTATCTGTGACATTTTATTTCCCCAAAACATCATGCACAGTCTGAAGCAAATGGGGCAAAATGTTAATAACTAACTGCTAACTTTGGGTGGTGGGTTACTTTCTGTATTTCTAAAATATTTCATAAGTTAAAATAAAAATTTTAAGTGATTACAAGTGGCAAAATGAACTGAAAACTACATACTATGGTGTTCAAAATGGAATACTCAAGATCTACAGAACCGATCTCAGGTTAACAACAAAACGGCTACTGAATCACATACAGATTAGTATGTAAAGATTTACTTTACAATAACAACAGGCTCATTTATGTAGCAAAGTTCAAAGACATTTCATAGATAATTTACTACTCAAGACCACATTTATCCAGGTTGTATTGGACCATATCAATTATCTGGAACCAGGAAGTTTAAAGACAGCCTGTATGAAAAGCCAGAGAATAGATGATACAAAGTCCATACAATATACCTCATACCCGCTGCTCAGAAAAGAACCCATCAAACTCTCACTTAGAAATTTCTTTTTAAGCGCTAACAAGTTAGTTTATCTGGTTACTTAGACCTTTTCAGATCAAGTTCAGTGAAACAGGGACAGGAGAAATTGCACAACAGGCAGCGACAAGGCACAACAAACAGCAAGAATAACCTGGATAAGAAAAAAAAACTTTAAAGAACAGATATGAAACTAATTAATAGAGTACACAGTTTTGGGTAATCTATGTGTGTAAGTATCAATGACACTTTCAGAATGATGTCGAGTATTTTTTAAAAAGAAGAAAAGAAACAAACCTAGGATTATGAGGAATTACAGAGTTTAAAAAGATAATACTTTGAGGTGTTTTATACAAATCGGTAAATATTTGTTAAAGTCTAAGTGGCTCAAAGGGCATCATTTATCTGGAACAGCCACTGCAGAATTTACTATCAGATGATGCTAGATAAAGCTTAACATGTAAACATCTGTTGTATTTAGGTGTTCCCTTGTAAATAACATTTCAAGAAACAGAACAAAAATCTGAAGAAATTCAATTCCTTACCACACATTTCAAATTTAATTTCTGAAGACCATCTAATGACTTAGCACAATGCTGGACAAATTATTAATTTTATCATTTTCTTTAAGTAATTAAAAAACTACCAAAATGACTACAAAGACAATGTGCAAAATTTGGGCAGAAAATTTCACAACACAGGGACACAGGGTTGACAGTAACACCCATTTAGGTGCCAAGTTTTAGCCTGCCAAACAACTGTATCTGTAACTATCCTCTAGGTGCCAATTTAGTCATCACCAACATGAATATTTTGTGGGCGGAGGCCATTGTCTAGTATATCCTGACTTCTGGCCTTGAAGTATGAAGTTAATTTTTCTGGCACAGGTAAAATATTTCCATAAAAGAAAGCCCAATTACTGTATAAACCAGGAACTGCAGTCACTCACATAAACTTGTAATCTATTTTAAAATGAATTATCCACAAAGCAAGAGTGTCAGAATTTGAAATAGCTAAAAAAATCCATTGCTCTAAAGTATTGTAATGTAAAAAGGGAGTGAAAAGGGCATGTCCCATTTCTCAAGGCCCATTTTCAAAACCGCTGAATTAGACCATACTTACTTATGTAAAAGACAACTAGTTTTTTTTAATCACAGCACACTGACTAATTTCTTAACCTTCCACAGGAGTCCACACCCCAAGCCAAGTTAAAAATCCACTAAGTTTCTAATATGTAACCTGTACAAATACTCTGGACTTATCATAAAATTTTGCAACTAAAGCAACCAAGCAACTTTCACACTTTGTGTAATGTGATTCCAACTGCTAGGAAACTGATCCAAGACCAATTACAAACCTGAGTTTCTAGAGATTAATTCTGTTCACATTTTTAGATTTCTACAATAAGATATCACCTAATGCCTCCATTTAAATTTATTGCTCCAACCCACGGACTTCAAAAACATTATTACATGCTTTTTGCTACTAATGTTAACATTTTTTCCCACTAATGTTAACTCTCCTCTTTACCTTTACAGGTGGCAATGAGTACAATTGAAAAGTCTAATCACCCTTTAATAAAACCTGCTAGAATTCACTAGCATGCCATCTTTCATTTGTGTTGCCAAATGTTTTCATTTGCACAGTCTGAGAAGAATTTCTGAAAAGAAATGCTTTGATTACTAAAAAAGATTCACTTATTTCCTTGTATCAAATTAACAATTCTCTGCTTAAATCTAGTACCTTACCATGCGCTCTCGCAATGGCCCAAACCAGTCTTCCACATAGTTCTCATCTTTTTGGAAAAGCAAGTAGGACAGGGGTTAGGAGAAGCATGCACTGCTCGTTCTATCCTACCAGTTAAATAAAACTTGTCACTTCCTACTAAAATAATCACTTAAAAATCTTTACGGACAGTTTTTTTTTCTGATATTTTCCTTAAATACGTACACTCTTCAAATTATGAACCCATTATGCCAACTATGAGTTTTTAAATGTTAGCCTGTTCACATAATATGAACTCATTCTTCAGTAGGTCCTTCTTCCCACAGGTTTGCCAAATCACAAGACACACTTGTGTTTACGATCCCTCCCATCTGCCCCCTGCCAATATATATCAAACTCTAGTCACTTGGGCTTAAACAAGTCTGCCAAAGAACGCTCTCAAAACCTAATTTGGACCCAAGATGCACTCATTCTGATTCATATTCTTAATGGAAATTTTTAAAATCACCTTTCACAGGGTTAAGTTTTGCCTTTTGATGCAGCCAGACCTAGAGCCCTCGTGCTTTCACACAAGTACCCCAAATCTGATAGTATACTTTCAAATTCTACACTTTTAGACATATTTTCAATCTGAGTACTCCGCTTTCAAAGACAACTGCCAACTTTCAATTCCTTCGAGCACTAGTCTACATTTCTCTCATTTCACCACTACACTCTGTTTGGTAAGACTGATTTTCGGTAAGGCCTACTGATTTTTCTCCGTGACTGCAGTAGGAAAAGAAATGAAACAAAATATATTTGCCATCATTCTTTTTAAAGATAACTACTAAACAGTTACCATTTTTCATTACAGACTTTATGTAATACGTCATATAACATAGTATCACCAATATCTATTGTTTGGGACCTTTGCTGGGCATCAATACTAATGGTCTCCAAAATCAAACAATACTTCAAATAATGCGGGGGGGGTGAGGGGCGGCGGGAGCATGATTCACCAAAAACTGCAATGAAGAGTAATGGAATATTTTCACCAGTGATATGCTAAATAGCTTCTTTCTTAGGGTACTGCTAAGCAACCAGTGCTGTAGCAATAAATCCACCTGCTTCAAACGCTGCAAAGCTAGGAAGACTAAAGGAAAAACGGAGATGGGGTCCTCCTTCGGCTTCTCTAGGTTAGGAGAGAACAAAGTCACTGCTGCACTGTCACTTGAGGGGAAGGGACAGGGGAGGGGGCGGATCATCTTGGAAACCCAGCCCCTGGGCCGGAGCAGGCGGGGAGAACTCAGCAAGGCTGCCTGGGATTAACATTCTCCTTCTCAACCTCTCCCCGCTTCTAGAATCTCCCCGGCTCTCAGACGCGCGGCGGTCGAGTCCCAGATGACCGCCCCTTCCAATGTGTCCTCCATGGAGCATAGGGAGAACAAGCCAAAGGAACAGAGTCAGGAGGTTGAGACATAGTGTGGACTCCAAAGACCCCTCTGGCCTCCCCCAACACCCTCCAGCCTCTCCCAGAACACCACCAAGCCCGGAAGCGCCGGGGGTCGGGGGGAATGAGCCTCACACAGGTGTGCCGGCCCGGAGGGGCTCCCGCAGCGCTCCCCGCAGCGCGTCCCGGGCCCCAGCGCAGAGCACCCCAGAGCCCCGAAGGGCGCGCCGGTGCCCAGGCCGGCCTCCCCAGCCCCAGGCCCAGGCCCGCCCGCCCCCAGCCCTCGGGCGCGGCCTAACTGCTTGCCCCGCAGCTCGCCCCCGGCGCCCGAGGGTCGCCGTACCTGGGCGGCGGCCTCCAGCTTGCCCTCGAAGGTGAAGTCCAGCAAGTCGGGCTTGAGGCAAAGGCTGTAGTTGATGGGGGAGACATCGGCAGGCAGCCGCTCGAAGGGCCTCTTCTCCGGCATCGCGGCGAGGCCCAGGCTGTGGAGGCGGCGGCGGCGGCGGCGAGAGGAGCGGCTGAGGAGAAGGAGGAGGGGAGGAGGCGGAGGGCCGAGGAAGAGCAGGCGGCGAGCGAGGGAGGGGGCGGCGGCTGCCAGCCACATCCACCGAGCGCGGGCGACCGCCTGAGCAGAGCGACCGGGGCAGCCTGGGGGCGGGGGAGAGACCCGGCCCGAGCGCCAGGGGCCGGGAGGGAGGCAGTGCGGGCGGGCAGGCTGGCGGGCTGGCTGCCTACGGGGAAGGGGGCGGAGGGGAGGGAGGGGAGGAGGGCCGGCAGGGAGGAGGGAAGGAGGCGGTGGCTGCGTGCGCGGCCCTGCCAGCCGAGCGCGGCCCCGCCGCCGGGCGCGCGCGCGCCGGGACAGGGGGCGGGGCGGCGAGGGCGCGGCCGGCGGGGCGGAAGGGTGCGGGGTCGCGGAAGCGAGCTGGCGGCGGGAGGCGGCTCCCCGCGTTGCACCTGTCTGCGCCGCTGGGGCGAATCGGCTGCCAGGGCCGCCCCTGCCGGAAGGAGTCCGGCAGGGTTCTTGAAGAGGAGGGAAAGGCGTCAGGGTCCACGCCTCCCCCGAGTTGTGTTTAGAAACTGAAGCCTGTGCAAGTCCGTCGGTACAGTCAAGGTAAAATGTTAAAATACCGATTCAGAGCAAAACACGAAACTGGATTTTTACCTCCAAGTCAGTGAAAAGCCCTGACCAAAGGCTCTTTGGCAGTAATAATCCCTGTTATTTTAAGTAGCGATTTCAAGGGATGATAGGAAAAATCTTGTAAAATCTTTAGCAATCCAGGTTATTTAAGTCAATAAAATTTGCACCTTTGAGGGAATGAGTTCAAAAGTTAGGAAGATTTTTGTTTTCATGAGTTAATGTTCAAACTATGTTTTCCCTTTTTCGTCTTTGTTTCTGCTTTTGTAAAAGAAACCTTTACCGATTGTCACCTCTTTGAAGGTAAACTAGCTGTGGTTCCCTCAGTTCCGTAGATATTCTGCAAATTGATATGTACATAATTTTTATAAATATATATTATAGATATGTAATGCATATATTTAAATATATGTATTTTAAAGTGTCATGGGTAAGGGGATTTATCTATAATTTCCATATTCCTTTATAGAACCTTCTCATGTAGATCCTCTTAATTTCCAAAACTCAATGCTGAATGTTCTACTGGACCAGCACTGTCCAATAAAAATATAATGGAGGCCAACTACATAAATTTTCTAGTAGCCACATTTTAAAAAAAAAGGAAAAAGGAAACAGATTAAATTGATACACCTTATCAACCCAACATATCAAAAATATATCAACATGCAATCAATATAAAAAATATTAATGATTTTTTTTCATACTAAGGCTCTGAAATTCAGTGTGTATTTTACATTTACAGCACATCTCAGTTCTGACTAGCCACATTTCAGGTGCTCAATAGACCCATGTGACTAGTTGCTTTTTTTTTTTATTATTGACTAGTTGCTTTTTTATTGGGCAGCACAGTCTTAAGACACTGGGCCTGCCTTCTTACCCTCTGAATTCTTCTTCACACCTAGTAGGACAAACTGGAAAAGTGCAATTATTCAAACTAAGATATGAGATGGGCCTTTAGTTACATGGATGTATTTCTACAGAGCCAGAATCTTAATAATACATTAATAATCTAATTAATGATTGAATAATAACGTATTGAATGCTTACTAAAAACTTTATGTACATTGATTCATTTAATTCTTTCAACAACTCTGTTAGGTGGACACCATTATTCCCATCTTATAGATCAGGAAACAGGCATACAAAGATTTAGTAATTTGCCCATGGTCATACAGCTAATAAATGTCAGGAACCAGCTTTTTTCTCTCCTGGAAATTTTTCAGCAACTTCCCTCTTTTTCTAACTCTCCAATTTTGTTTTGTTCTAATAATCCATCTGTATCTCAGCTCCTTAAAGTTATTTTCAAAACCTATGCAAGTTGTATACTTCACTCAAAAAAGCAAGAAAGAAAAAGCTAATCAAGGTCATTCTACAATCAGGCACTTTGTCTTTAGTTTTCAAGCGCTAATCTGAGAGTCTGAAGACATAGTCCCAGTCTGATCACTGACTTCATCTCTGACCTAGAGCAAGTCTTATACTTTCCCTGCTTCAACTTCCCCATTTGTAAAGCAGATAAGTGCATAATGCATGCTTTTCTCAAAGAATAGTATTATTTTACCTGTGGTTAAGGAATTTCTGTGTCCATGCAAGAACCCTTAAGGCTCCCTCTTGTCTGTTAAAGCAAATTTGGTTTATTACCATTTAAGGTTCTCCAAGACTTGTCTTCTTACCCTTTGACATAGATTCTCCAGTTTTAGCAAGCTAGGCTGTTTACCATTTGGCTCTTAGGTTTGCTCATTCTGTCTACTCTACCATTGCTCATGCATTATTGCTGGAGGGACCTCCTCATCCTTTTCACCAAATGTATGCCCCTCCCTTCCTTCAAAACTCGCCTCTTCCAGAAAGTCATCATTAACTTAACTCCACCCAACTCTAACCCTATTCCCATCAGCTCCCACTTACTGACTTTTGCTGATATATTTGTATTTGTTCTGTTATTCTGTAATTGTATTTTCTGTTTGTTGTATATGAGTATATTTTCAAGATGTACTACTTATTCCCTTATAATTGTCAGGACTAATCCCTACACAAAGTCCATCCAAACTGGTATTGACTCAACTAACGACTGACCAAAGAATATTTTACCCAGTCTGTAATCTTTCCTTTATGTACATGTGTATCCCACAGAGAATCTATGTGAACCTTAGAGGTCACCTTCTTTTATAAAATCATAGAAGTGCTCTAAAAAAATTAAATACCAATTACCAGAGCCATAAACTTCATGACAACAGTAATTGTGACCCTGCTGAGGAAAAAAGGGGAAAACCTTGCTTGACCCCATCCTTAGTCCCATGGCCCTGCAGCAAGTCAAGAGTGAACCCAGACCTGCTACCTACAATTTGGGATAGGGGAATAGAAGGTAGCATATAGTTCCCATAAGGAAGAATGACTAACAATCTAACATATGCTCTAGGCAGGCTTCTCTGGAATAACTGAAATGAAGAACACAAGGGCTCTTGGAAATTCCTATCCTGTCCATGGTGCTTCAGGAGGAGCAGGGAAGCCAGGAATGTCTCAAGGTCATTAGCCCAACTTCTTGCAGATTTCTAGGCTTCTTTGGTTAACAAAGCCCTTAAAAATCCATAAATGAAAAACCTATGCAAGTTGCATATGTCAATAAAAAGTTAAAGCTAATCAAGATCATTCTAATATTAGGCACTTTCATCTTTAGTTTTCAAGCACTAGTCTGAGAGTCTGAGGACATAGTCCCAATCTGATCACTGACTTCATTTATGACCTAGAGCAAGTCTTATACTTTCCCTATTTCAGCTTCACCATTTATAAAGCAGGTAAGTGCCTAATATATGCTTTTCTTAAAGAATAGTATTTTACCTGTGGTTTAGGAATTTCTGAAAATATGTCTGTCATGTTTTTAAAATCAGAACAGTCTTCATAGGGGGACTATATTTAGCCTCCCTGACTTAGAAAATGTGGCCTTCAGTGTTGTGGGAATTATAACTTTAATTCCACTAATAAGAGTCTTACCTGCAGAAGATGGTGAAGGGGTTCCACCAACTAGGGACACAAAAGTTGGCAAGCAATCCATAGGAAGCTGATACTATGAGATCCCAGACTTGACTCTTTTCTATAACTTAAGATGGCTGTTGGAATGACCATTGGAAATGTGGGAAGTAGATAGAATGTTGCCTACTCACCTGTATTCCTCATGAAAGGCAAGTAGATTAATTCCATATGCTTTAAAATGTGCACTATACTGGTGGACAATAACTATACTTAACAGGTGATATATATATAATGCATGTAATGTATTTAAGGGGGGCAATATGACATTAAATAAATCCAAATCCAGCCAGAGAATGGTTGGAAAGAGTTTTATTTCTCTTGGTATCTTTCCATCAGGAAATTGAAAAAGTTATACATTTCCACCTGCTTATTTCCTTTCTAGACCCCTCTTTTTTTCCCCCCCAGTATTTCTGCTTCCTTTTTTCACAAACCACTACTCTCCTGCAGGATTATTTACCACTCCCAAGTGACTGGCAACTACATGACTAAACCCAAGCACTTTGTTGGTGATCTTCAAACTGGGATGAGTCCTTTTAGCTGCATCCTCTTAGGAAGGGTTAACCACTCTCTAATATGAGTTAGGGAATAAAGCCAGTACCTCTGTGCAGGCAAGAATGCATATGTCCTTGTGCACCCCTATGTTTATCACAGCACTATTTACAATAGCTAAGATATGGAAGCAACCTAAATGTCCATCAGTAGATGAATGGATAAAGAAAATGTAGTACACAATGGAGTATTATTCAGCCATAAGAAGAAAACAAATCCTACCATTTGCAACAACATGGATGGAGCTAGAGGGTATTATGCTCAGTGAAATAAGCCAGGCGGAGAAAGACAAGGACCAAATGATTTCACTCATCTGTGGAGTATAACAACAAAGCAAAACCGATCAAACAAAACAGCAGCAGACTCACAGAACCCAGTAATGGACTAGCGGTTACCAAAGGAAAAGGGGTTGGGGAGGGTGGGTGGGAAGAGAGGAATAAGGGGATTAAGGAGTATTATGATTAGCACACATAATATAGGGGGGGAGCACAGGAAAGGCCGTATAGCACAGAGAAGACAAGTAGTGACTCGATAGCATCTTACTATGCTGATGGACAGTGACTGTATTGGGAGGTGTGTGGGGGACTTGATAATATGGGTGAATGTAGTGACTACAACATTGCTCATGTGAAACCTGAGCATAAGATTGTACAATGATACCTTAATAAAAAAATTGAAAATGTCTGTATCTGATGCATTGGTCTCTAGAACACCGCTACATTTCTTGTGGAATCCCAAGTCTCTTAAGGTTACAGTATTCTGGAGCTGGCATGCTGGAATTGACTTAGCAATGATGCCTTGACCTGACAACCATAAAAATAAGTGAGGGCTCGGGTTGAACCTGACCAAGTCAAGTAGCCAAGAGGATTAGAAGTCTCAGAAGCTTGGTAACAGATAGCCTCAGTTTCTCCACCCTTGGCTCTATTTCTGTTTGTTTTTTAAATCCCTAACAAGAATTTAGATCAGAATTTAGATCAGAATATCAATACCTGATCCCTTGCCTAGCACAGAGAATAATCTCAACCTCTGTCCAGCGCTAGGTTAGGGGTGGGTTGAAGAAAAGATACCCAAGACATTAAGCCCCACCAATCTGGTGGAATCAGGGGTGTAATCCTTTTATGAGAGCAATTTGCCTTGGAGTTTTAGCCATGATCTTAAATAACTGAGGATGAAAATCTGCTTCCAGCCTCTGTACAGAATTTGTATTAGAGTTAAGAGTAATGAACACATAAAAAGTGCAGGGGGAGCTAGAAATTGGCTTGTGGTCTCCTTATGCACAGGACTGGACTGATAGTCATCTTGTCCTCAGTAAACAAATAATGCCAGGTCAGAAAGACTGTAAGGTAAGCAAGCATGTAGGCCCCTTTCATTTCCAGATATTCTGCAGTTTCTAGGAAAATAGT